ATAGTACATAAAGAATGAGTATAAAAATGGAGATGCGGGGTATCGATCCCCCGTGCCCCTCGCATGCTAAGCGAATGCTCTACCATCTGAGCTACATCCCCAACACGTGAATATATAGTATAGTGGGGAGAGAGTATAAAACATAATATAAAAGTAAGTTATAAAGTGGTAGACTAATATAGTGTGGTATAATACATAATATAAAAGTAAGTTATAAAGTGGTAGACTAATATATAGTCATATAGTAATATCTAGAGAAAAGCACATATAAATACACAAAGAAATACTAATATATATAATAGTTTGTTATTATCCTTCAATTTTATCTATTTTTTACTTTTATTATTTGCGTATGCTAAATATTTGTTATATTCTTTTCTTTGCCTTCTATTTATTCTATTCTCTTTTCTTTTTTCAATTTTTTCACTCTTATTTATATTAATTTATTTTCATTTCTTTTATCCTACTTTTATTCGCCTTTTTTATGTCTTTATTTGATTCACAAACTTTTCTTGTTATATATTTTTGAAAAATATTTTAATTGACGACGGGTACGAAAATTAGCAAAGAAAAAATGCATCTAAATAATTTACAAAAAAGAAAAAAGATGCAAAAAAATTTGTATCCATAGAATATTCCACTTTATTATATTTTGCTTCTAAAAAAAATAAAAAAATAAAAAATATGATAAATACAGAATATATAAATATTTATGTTTATATTTTATGATCACTTGTAGTCATTTTGTATGAAATATTAATGAAATAGATTATTTGATTATTCATATTTATTTTTATTATTTTTTTCTTTTATTTATATGTTATTTATCTATCGTATTTTTATATATTTATTTCTCTGTTTATATTATTTATATCATTGTATTCTTCTTATTATCTATATATTATTATATTATTATATTCTTCTTATTTTATTATTTTTATGTTTATATTATTTAGATTTTCTTATTGTTATTCTTTTCTATTTAGATATATTTGTTTATTTGTTTATTCATCTTTTATATTATTATCATTTATATCTATTTTCATTTTATATTTATTCTCTTTTGATTTATATTAATATTAATTTTATCTTTTATACTTTGATTTTATTATTATATCATTGATTATCATTTCTCGTTTTATTTATCATTTATTCTTATTATTCTTTTGTTTTTATATTCTATATCATATATTCATATCATTTTCATTTATATTTTATCACTTATTATATGTTATAATAACATAACACATATGATTGAATAGGCAACGAAAAAAAGCAAATAATTGAAAAAGAAGAGAATGAATGATATAAAAGAATAAAATGAAAGTAAAAAGTAGATGAAGATGAAGAAAGAATAAAAGTAGAAAGGAGAGAATATAAAAATAAAGAAGATAAAGTGTAATAAAACAAAAGAGATGATAAAAGAAGAAAAGAAAGAAAAATAAAAAGTGTATTTTTATTGTAAAAATTAGAAATATTCAATAAAAGTGTCTAATTTAATGATGTAAAATAATTAATATTGTTTTATTGAAAAAAATATTGTATTATTTTTTATGTTTATTATTTATATGTATAATTTCATCATGATGTTTATTATATAATAAATCATATGTGTTATGTTATTATAACATATAATAAGTGATAAAATATAAATGAAAATGATATGAATATATGATATAGAATATAAAAACAAAAGAATAAGAAGAATAAATGATAAATAAAACGAGAAATGATAATCAATGGTATAATAATAAAATCAAAGTATAAAAG